GAGCTAAATGAAATGGAAATGAGCAATCTATCAGATGTAGACTATTTATAAGGATGCTCAAGGAACTTAGTGAGGACCTCAGCAGCCTAAAAAAGACCCAGTCTGAAACAAAGGATACACTAATTGAAGTAAAGAATAACTTACAGGAAAACACCACTAGAATGGGTGAAGCTGAAAATCAAATCAATGATTTGGAATATAAAGAAGCAAAAAACAATCACGAAGAAGAAGAAGAAGAAAAAAGAATTTTTAAAAATGAGGATAGTACAAACAGCCTTGAGACAACTTTAAGAGGTCCAACATTTGCCTCATAGGGGTGCCAAAAGGAGAAGAGAAAGAGCAGGAAATTGCAAATCTACCTGAAAAAATAGTGACAGAAAACTTCCCTAATTTGGTGAAGGACATAGACATGCAAGTCCAGGAAGCACAGACAATCCTAATTATGACTGGGATTGTCAAAGGTTAAAGATAGAGAATCTTGAAAACAAGAGAAAGGAAGTTAGTTACTGGAAGGCTGCCAGATGGGAGCGGGGAGGAGAATGGGTGAAGAGATGAGGGGATTAAGAAGTACAGATAGGTAGCTGCAGAACAGCCATGGGAGTGTAAATTACAGTATAAAAAATGGAGTAGCCAAAGAACTTATTATACCCATGACCCATGGGCATGAACAATAGTGTGGGGGGGGACTGCCTGAGGGAGTAGGGGGCACTGGATAAGGGGGGCAAAGGGGGGGAAATCAGGAGAACTGTAATAGCAGAATCAATAAAATATAATTTAAAAAAAGGGCAAACAACCCAATGGGAGATGATTATTTGCAAACAACAGCTCTAAAAAAGGGTTAACCTCCAACATATATAAAGAATTCATAAAACTCCATACCAAACAACCCAATTAAAAAATGGGCAGAGAACTTGAACAGACGCTTCTCCCAGGAAGACATACAAATTGCCAACAGATATATGAAAAGATGCTCAACGTAGCTAGCCATTATGGAAATGCCAAGCAAAACTACAATGAGATACCACCGCACACCTGTCCGAATGGCTACTGTCAACAAGACAAGCAATAACAAGTGTTAGTGAGGTTGTGGAGAAAAGGACCCCTCACTCACTGCTGGTGGAGGTGTAAACTGCTGCAGCCACTGTAGAAGACAGTGTGGCAGTTCCTCAAAAAATTAAGAATAGTTACCCTATGACCCAGCAATGCCTCTCCTGGGTATTTGCCCCCAAAACTGAAAAAACATGTATTTGTAAAGATACATGTACTCCTATGTTCACTGCAGTGGTATTCACGGTGGCCAAAACATGGAGACGACCAAAGCGCCCTCGCTAGAGCACCGAAGAATGTGTGGTACACATGTGCAATGAAATGCTACTCCGCCGTAAGGAAATACAAAATGCTGCCATTTTTGGCAGCATGGATAGACCCTGCGAATATGCAACCCAAAATTAGTCAGTCAGAAAAAGCGAAGAACCATATGATCTCACTCATATGTGGCATATAACACTGAAACTCATGGACACGGACAAGAGTGTGGTGGTGACCAGAGGGCAGAGGGTGGTTGAGGGGGTGTAACATATGGTAACAGAAGATGGTTTGACTGTAGGTGGTGGGCGCACAGTGCAATATACAGATTATGCATCACAGAAATGTTCATTTGATACACCTATGATCCTATTAACCAGTGCCACCCAAATAAATTTAATAAAAAAAATGTTAACTAAATGCTTGAATAAGTAGTTTTGGAAAAAAGCAGAACGTTATTTGGTCATACTGACCAAATGTTTGATGATGTAACGACAGAATTCAGCAGTCAAATCATAACTTTTACATTTAAACAACAAATGCTAGTATTGATGTATATTAATCACTTTTAGCTTTGACATCTATCCATCCACCCCCTGAACCAGTAGAGAAAACTGAGCAATAATAGGCCACAAAAGCTAGCACCGTACTAAATACAGGGTGCGGCAGAAGTAAGGCCTGCTTATGTGTGGTTGGTAGGGTAATAATATGGGTGTAATCATTTAGAGCTTAAATTGAACATTTCACCTAAAATGGCATACAGTGTGCTTGACAGTGATATTGTCATGTTGCAGAATTACATATTTATGATTTTGTAGTGAAAATCTTTGTAATAAAAGAGAGGCATTATTTGTGTTAGACCCCTGTATATTACTCAAGGTTTGGATATGCAGCCTTTATTCTTGTTCTATCGGAAAAGGAACAAAATTGATAAACCTATAGGCAGACTCATCAAGAAAAAAAAGATCCCAGATAAATAAAATCAGAGATGAACAGGAGAAATTACAACGGACTTTACAAAAATGCCAAAAATACATAAAAAATGACTAGGAACAGCCCTGCCCGGTGTGGCTCAGTTGGTCGGAGCATCATCCTGTAAACTAAAAGGCTGCAATTCCCAGTCAGGGCACATACCTAGGTTTCAGGTTTGCAGCCAGGTAGGGGTGTGTGTGAGAGGCGGCCAATCCATGTTTCTCTCTCACATCACCGTTTCTCTCTCTCCCCCTACCCCTGTCTCTAAAGTCAATAAGCATGGCCTTGGGTGAGGATCAATAAAAAAACAATACTATGAACAATTATATGCCAACAAATGGGACAACCTAGAAGAAATGGATAGCTTTCTAGAAACCTACAGCCTTCCAAGACTGAACCAGGATGAAACAGAAAACCAAAACAGACCAATTACTAGCAACAAAATTGAAGCAGTAATAAAAAAAAAAAAACTCACATTAACTAAAAGTCCAGGGCCAGACAACTATACAGGTGAATTCTGCCAAACAGTTAATGGAGACTTAACACCTATCCTTCTCAAACTATACCAAAAAATTAAAAAGGAAGGAATGCTTCCAAACTCATTCTATGAGATCAACATTATCCTGATAGTAAAACCAAAGACACTAGCAAAAACAAAACTACAGGCCAGTATCTCTGATGAACATAGATGTAAAAATTCTCAACAAAATATTAGGAGACTGAATTCGACAATACAATAAAAGGATCATACACCATGACCAAATGGGATTTATTCTTGAGACATAGGATGACCCAACACCCACAAATCAATCAACGTGATATACTACATCATCAATACCAAGTATAAAGATCATATCATTTCAATAAATGCAGAAAACACATTTGACAAAATTCAGTGTCCATTTATAATTTAAAAAACTCCACAAAATGGGAATAACAGAAACATACCTAAATATAATAAAGGCCATATGAAAAACCCACAGCCAACATCACACTCGATGATGAAAAGCTGAAAGCTGTTCCTCTAAGATCAGGAACAAGACAACGATACCCACTCTCACCACTCTTATGCAGCACAGTACTTGAACTTCAAGTCACAGCAATCAGACAAGAAAAAGAAATAAAAGGCACCCAAGTTGGAAAGGAAGACGTAAAACGGTCATTATTTTCAGAAGACATGATACCATATATAGAAAGCCCTTAGAGACTCCCCCAAAATCTATTAGAACTATTAAATGAACTCAGTAAAGGTGCAGGACACAAAACTGAAATATAGAAATTTGTTGTGTTTCTACATACACATAACGAACTCTCAGAAGAAATGAAGAAAAAAAAGAACACAAACAAGACTTTTTGTTACTAAAATAAGGTATTAAAAGAAAACTACACCTAAGTAAGACTCACATGAGCAAAGACAGTAACACACTGTATTTTCAACTGCTAAAAACAGCGCTGCCATCTATCACTGGTTGGCAGTGTGGTACAATGAGAAGAGCAGGCATGAGCTTTGGAGTCTGAAAGATGAGACTCAAGTCCCAGCTATGATATTTACTAGCTATTGGACTTTGGACCAGTAACTGAACTTCTCTTATCCTGAGGCCCCTCACCTCCAAAATGAAGATGACAGCACTGCTGTGAGAATCAAATTAAGAGCTGAAGCTTGGCTATCTTGGTAACTGACACACAGTAGATACTCAATAATTCCAGCTTCACAAAGATGCTAGCGGTACTATTACCTATTCTAATATGATCTTGTCTGAACTATTAATATGCTTTATCAGGGCTGTCCAACCTGCATCCTGTGGGCCACATGCAGCTTGGGATGGCTATGAATGCAGCCCAAGACAAAACTGTAAATTTACTTAAAACATGATGAGATTTCTTCTGTGTGTAGTTATGTGTCATAGTGTATTTAATGTGTGAGACAACTCTTCTTCCATTGTGGCCCAGAGACGCCAAAAGGTTGGATAACCCTGCGCATCACTAGAACACCAATAGTATATGATATTAAAACTGGTTTTGAAGATTTTATTGATTGATTGACTGATTGATTTTTAGGCAGAGGAGAAGGGAGGGACAGAGGGAGAGAAACATCAGTGTGTGGTTGCTTCTTGTGCTCCCCCCACTGGGGACCAGGCCCGCAACCCAGGCATGTGTCCTGACTAGGAATAGAACTGGTGACCCTTTGGTTTGTAGGCCTGCACCCAGTCTACTGAGCCATACCAGCCAGGGCTGGTATTAAAACTTTTAAAGCACTTGCACATGTACTACCACTTACGACATCCTGAAGAACACAAGATGAATTTATCACAAAGAAAGGAGTTTGATCTTTTAAATTTCTTACTTTACCATAAAAATACATCATTTGCTTTGACCTAACAAACAATAAAGCATCTAGCAGGATGCCTCACTTCTGAATGATTGACATAAATCTTGCTCATAACAAATTGTATGTCAGTTACATTTTCTAAATACTTTTTGAATATGGTGCATCTCTATTTTAAATCTGCTCCTGATTTACAGCACCAGTATCCCTTCGCCTGACTCTTCCTGACAAATACCAAAAAAAAAAAGGCAGACACATCTGCATTACATTTTGACACAGACGATGTCTAAAGTAACCAAAGATGTCAGATTTTTTCACTCCCTTTCTCTGATACAAACCAGAGGCAATTCAAAGGCGCGCTGATCAAATAGGCAAGGACAAAGAAAGTGGCACTTACTTCAATTGTATGGATAATATCTCTGGGACCAATAATTTCTGGATCATATTTAATATGCGCTTTGTTGGTCGCCAGGGCCACAGAGCAGTAGAAAACCCCCCTGTGCTTGGTGAGGGTAGATTCTATTTTATGGACGCAGGAGGCGCACGTCATTCCTCTCACCTGTGAACGACAAACGCATTGTTATTCAGAAATACACTTTTTTCTCCATTAAACACAAGTTATTAAAATAACTGGTGCAACATGGGATAGTCACACAAGATCTTCCTGCACTAGGATTATGCTTTAGATATCATCATTAGGACACCTGTATACCACATGGAACAAGGATATGGTCCAGCGGCCACAGATTACACAGAAGCAGGTGTCAGAAAAAGTCTTCCTCTTCTTGTCACTACTTCTTGTAGAGAAGTTGATAAATCATTGCTTCTTTTTTTATTGATTGATTTTAGAGAGAAAGAGGAAAGTTGGGGGGGGGAGAGGAAGATAGATTTGTTGTTCCACTTATTTATGCTTTCATAGGTCGATTCTTGTATGTGCCCTGACTGTCGATCGAACCTGCAACCTTAGTGTACCAGAACACTCCAACCAACTGTGCTACCCAACCAGGGCTCACTGTTTCTTGTATTCAATGCCTTGCTTCCCTCTAGATAGTTTTTCATTATGCAAAAATCATACAACAGTTCATATTACTTTTAGTGAAGGTTAACGGGAGACAAAAATGCTCTACATCTGTCTAAAAATATTTTTTGCCCTATGTGTTGGTTGACGTTAAATGCAGTTTAGTTGGACATGGAATTCTAAAGTCAGGGGACTGGAAATTTAGAATGACTGTGTAAGGAGCTCATCAATTCATTTCCCCTACAAAGCAATGATAAAACTGGGGGAAAGTCTCCACAGACAATTATTGAAAATGGTGCTCGAAAAAATTGGACAGATACATGCAAAAAAGTGAAACTACACCACCTTCTCACAACATACACAAGAACAAATTCAAAATGGATTGAACACTTAAATGTAATATTAATCCATAAAACTCCTAAAACAAAACACAGGCAGTAGAATCCCTGACATTTCACTTAGCAATATATTTTTCTGATTATTTCCTCAGGCAAGGGAAACAAAAAGAAATAAACAAATGGGACTACATTACACTAAAAAGTTTTTACACAGCAAAGAAAATCATCATCAAAATGAAAAGACAACCCACTGAATGGAAGTAGATATTCATCAAAGATCTCTCTGACAAGGGGTTAATATACAAAATTTATAAAGAACTCATAGAGCTCAACACCCAAGAAGTAAATAATCTAATTGAAAATGGGCAGGCCTTGGCTGGCTTAGCTCAGTGGATTGAGAGCGGGCTGTGAACCAAAGCATAGCAGATTCGATTCCCAGTCAGGGCACATGCCTGGGTTGCAGGCCACAGCCCCCAGCAACCGCGCATTGATGTTTCTCTCTCTCTTTCTCCCTCCCTTCCCTCTCTAAAAATAAATAAATAAAATCTTTAAAAAAAGTTAAAAAAAATGGGCAAAGGACCTGAACAGACACTTCTCCAAAGAGGACATACAGATGGCCCATAGATATATGAAAAGATGCTCAACATCGCTAATCATCACCGAGATGCACATTAACACCACAGTGAGATATCACATCACAGCTGTCAGAATGGCCATCACAAACAAATCTACAAACAACAAGTGCTGGCCAGGATGTGGAGAAAGAGGGACCCTCAGGCACTGTTAGTGGGAATGCAGACTGGTGGAAATGCCACTGTGGAAAACAGTATGGAGATACCTCAAAAAATTAATAATGGAGCTCCCTTATGACCCAGCGATTCCACTTCTGAGAATTTATCTGAAGAAACCCCAAACATTAATTCAAAAGAATATATGCACCCCTGTGTTCATTGCAGAGTTATTTACAAAAGCCAAGCCATGAAAGCAACACAAGCGTCAGTAGATGAGTGGATAAAAAAGCTGTGGTACATTTACACAATGGAATATTACTCAGCCATAAAAAAGAATGAAACTACCATTTGCAACAGCATAGATAGACCTAGAGGGTATTGTGCTCAGTGAAATAAGTTAGAGAAAGATAAACACCATTTGATTTTACTTATATGTATAATCTAAAGAAAAATAAATGAACAAAAAAATTGAAACAGACTCAAAGACACAGAATGACATAGACTGATGGTCACCAGAAGAAAGATGTGTGGGAGACTGCATGAAAGAGGTGAAGGGATTAAGAAGTACAAATTGGCCCTGGCTGGTGTAGCTCAGTGGATTGAGTGCTGGCCTGTGAACCAAAGAGTCACAGGTTCGATTCCCAGTCAGGGCACATGCCTGGGTTGCAGGCCGGGTCTCTAGCAGGGGGTATATGAGAGGCAACCACATGTTGATGTTTCTCTCCCTCTCTTTCTCTGTCTCTTCCCCTCTCTCTAAAAAGAAATAAAACATTTGAAAAGAGAAGTACAAATTGGTAGTTACAGAGCAGTGACAGGGATATAAAGTACAGCATAGGGAATATAGTCACTAATACTATAATAAACTATATATGGTGCCAGGTGGGTACTGGATATACAGGGAGAACCCTAAAGTATATGATTATCTAACCACTATGGTGTACACCTAAAACTAACAGAAAATAATACTGAAAGTAAACTGTAATTGAAGAGTAAAAACAACAACAACAAAAAAACCTATTGAAATACTCAGACGTGACCGAAGAGTATACAACAAATCACGAAGCATTTATTCAAGAATACCTATTATGGTCATATCAGTAATGGTGGAGTAAGGATCTCTAAAAAATTGTATCCTCCATAAAAGCAATAAGAAAACTGGCAAAAATGGTTAGAACCAACTTTTCCAGAAATTTGGAATTTAAAAGCTTGCAGCAACCCAGGAAGCATTTCTTCAAGAAAATGTGATGAGCCCTGCCTGGCTAGTGTGGCTCAATTGGTTGGGGCGTCATCCCCAAACCAAAAGGTTGCGGGTTTGATTCCTGGTCAGGGCACGTGCCTAGGTTCCCAGATTGATCCCCGGTCCACGGCACGTGCAGGAGGCAACCTGTCCACGCTTCTCTCTTGCATCAGTGCTTCTCTCTCTCCTTTCCTCTCTCTAAAAGCAATGAACAAATGTCGTCCTCAGGTAAGGATGGAATAAAAAAAAAACAGATGAATCTCAATAAAACAACAACCTATGTGCCATTATAACTGCCCCTCCCCTCCAGCTCTGTGACAGTCTTGAAGACCACCAGCTCACAATCCTGGTGAAAAACAGAATCAAAAGCCACCAGAATGGGCAAAAAGGGTTGTGGCTTCTTCAAAGCCTCTTTATCAGCAGACTTTCGTTATTTGAGCTATCTGAGGGTTCTATGAAATATTCCACTTGCCCTGACTGGAGTTCAGTGGGTGCAGAAGCCTTTTCCTCTGGAGAACTGTTTCAAAAACAACCAGAGCAGCCCTGGCTGGTGTGGCTCAGTGGATTGAGCACCAGCTTGTGAACTGCAAGGTCACTATTTGATTCCCAGCCAGGGCACAGGTCTGGGTTGCCAGCCAGGTCCCCAGTAGGGGGCGAGTGAGAGGCAACCTATCAATGTTTCACACGTCGATGTTTCTCACCTTCTCTTTCTTCCCCAACTCCACAAGTAAATAAATATAATCTTTAAAAAAACTTAAGTCTTTCATGTACCTGGAACTTATTCTTTTACATGTTATACGTAAGAATCTTATTTTCAAAACTTGATTTTCATTTATTCATTCCAACCCAATTCTTCTTTTTTGGTTTCTAATAGACATACGATGATTATCTTTCACATGCCATGCTTGAAAGTCGCCATAAAGTCCTATCTTATCTTACCATTTTCCAGCTCTCTTAATTTTCCTTTTGATGTCTTATTTTTCCAACTTTAATTATTTTTGGAACTCTTTTCTGAATTCTCATTAAATTTTTCTAGGAATTTTATTAATTACACAAAAGTGTTACTTACAACAAGTTCCAAAACACCATCGCCTTCCTCGGCATTTTCTATCACAGTGGCTCCAAATCCAAGCTCTCGGATGAACTCGGCTATCATCGGGGGTTGTATAACAGCAGGATTATATCTTACTTCTGCCTTGCCAGCCATCAGAGCCACGAGTACAGAATATATTCCTAGGAGCATTGATAAGAAAAGCAATTCAGATAACACTCCGTATTTAAAAAAACAAACAAACAACAAAAAACAGTAATGTCCCTAGCTGGTGTGGATTGAGTGCCAGCCTGTGAACCAAAGGGTCGCCGGTTCGATTCCCAGTCAGGGCACATGCCTGGGTTGTGGGCCAGGTCCCCAGTGGAGGGCTCACAAGAAGCAATCACACACTGATGTTTCTCTCCCTCTCTTTCTCCCTTCCTTCTTCCTCTGAAAATAAATTAATAAAATCAAATAAATGAAATAAAATTTTTAAAAAGTAGTGTAATAATATTGTTTTCACTTAACTGTGACAGGATTAAAGTGAATCTGGAGAAACTGGTTAGTTACCTTTTACATAGTGTTAAACCTAAACCAAATAAAACTTTTTGAAAAAGGGGCCTTAATTTCTTAAAATTTTTATTATATAATTTTTCAATTTTATACATATGTACATATACACACACAAAAGAAAGAACATAGTAAACTTGATATACTGATTACCCAGCTTCAACAGTTAAACAGTTATCAATAATACCAGGCTGATCTTGTTTCATTTATATTCCCAGCCAAGGAATCCCTGCCCTCTACCCTGATTACTTTCCAATCCCAGACATCATATCATTTCCCTTGTAAATATTTAAATATATATTTCTATTGGGGGAAGGAGGATAATGGTAGGAAGAAGGAGAAGGGACTAGACAGAGAACATGTATGAAAGACCCATGGACATGAACCACAGGGTGGGGACCGACTGTGGGAGCAGGGGTTGGGATGGGCGGAAGAAAGCAAAGGGGGAAAATTTGAGACAACTTTAATAGAATAACAATAAAATATTTTTTAAAAAAGATACTGTTCTCTTTAAAAATAACCATAATACCATTATCATACCTAAAATAATTCTTTGTTATCATCAATTATCCACGCAACATGCACATTTCCACTAATTGTCTTATCACTGTTTATTAGTTCATTTTACACAGTTTTATTTTTTGTTTAGAGTAGGCCCATGACCTGCAATCAGTTGAGACCTCATCATGTAAATATAAAGCATTTTGAGAAACTAATAAGACAGAGTCCTAGAGAAAGGAACCTATGAATGTAAGCAATCACTGCAGTTGTAGCAAAAAAATCCAAGAACGTGCCAACATACACATTATAGTATTACCAAGTAATAGTCATTTCTTAAAATTCTCAAGTTTTCCTATCTGGCACACACTAATCTGAAGTGCTCTTATCCCTCGGATGAAAAAGGGCCACACAACTCGGCAGCAGAACAATGGAGTTCATTTTATGACAGTCACGCCGTGCTCTGGGGAAAGCCTTTTGTTAACAAGCTTTCTTTTTGTCTAGGCCAGCCATCACTGTCATTGCCAGGAAGGAAATTAATTACACACAGGAGAAATGGCAGCTCTTTCTAGGAATCTGCGGCACTTGGTGGCTACCTGACAGGGAATGAGGGTCAGTAGTTAGTAAGTCAGCTGTGGCGGGAGGTGGGGGCATGATACAAAGAAAAAAAAAATAACCGAATGTTAATTTAATACTTTTTCATAAGAAAACAAAGTACTTCATATAATCTAAGCTTTCTGTATAAAGTGCTTCTCTGGGCTAATAATTCAGAGGAACAGTTCACGGGAAAGTGTCACTAATAAGAGGACAGAGAAAGTAAGAAAAGTTCTTTTTGCTTTGGTTGAATGTAATCTATACCCAAACAGAAATACAAAGAAAGAAAAAAACGCTGATTTTTCAAGGTTCAAAAATAGGTTTTAAGCTTACATAAATTAGGGATAATTTAAAAAAATTCTTACTTCAGCCCTGGCTGGTGTGGCTCAGTGGATTGAGTGCCGGCCTGCAAACCAGAGGGTTGCAGGTTGGATTCCCAGTCAGGGCACATGTCTGGGTTGTGGGCCAGGTCCCCAGTAGGGGGCGCAGAACAGAAAACCACACACGGATGTTTCTCTCCCTCTCTTTCTCCCTCCCTTCCCCTCTCTAAAAATAAATAAAATCTTTAAAAAATTCTTACTTCAAACTATAATTAGAAATCTTTGTGTCCGTTTTTTGAAATGTGATGTGAAGACCAGTGTTACCTGGTTTAAAAAACCAAAAGGTCAATGTGGTCACCCAAGCTACGCCAATGATATTCCTAATTGGGTTAAAAGGAGTTAAAGGGGTAATAGGGAGTAACTGGGAGAGTCAGCTTAACAGGTTTTTTAATAAAAAGATTTGTAGCCCTGACCAGTGTGCCTCAGTTGGTTGGGCATTGTCCTGAAAAGCGAAAGGTCACTGGTTCAATCCCCAGCCAGAGGACACGCCTGGGTTCCGGGTTCAGTCCCCAGTGGAGGCATGAAGGAGAGATAACTGAGTGATGTTTCTCTCCTCTGTCTCCCTCCTGTCCCCTCTCTCTAAAAATAAATAAATAAAAATAAAAATCTTTAAATAAAAGATTTGTAATTCACACAGGCACCGCTTGTCTCATGAAAAAGGCTATTTCTGAGTTGCCCCAAAATAGTTGATTATAAAATTAAACAGGAACCTCGGAGACTTCTTTTTGCTTTTATTTGCTTGCAACCTTCCATTTTTTTTCTTTTTCAGCTAATCAAAGTGTACTGTAAGCTTTAGCCTTGACTGCATTTTAATTAGATGTAATGGAGGCTGAAATGAAAGATGCAGAAATGACAGGATGAAGTCAAGATAATATTGAAATGGAGACGGCTCTGTATAACATACATTTGGTGATAATGTTTTGGCCATTATATATTAGGTGATTCTACTGGCCAGAAGCCTACATTATTACCATATATGTTTTGAGTTACTTCCCTAATAGTAGGGATAAGCTTATACTAATCTTACTTATTTGGCCCTTGTAACTAACAACATATATATCTTTAAAACACCTGGAGCTAGGGCTACCTAAGTACTAAGCCCATGACTTCATTCTCACTAAACATAATCACACATCTCTATGGTTAACAAATCTACTATGTCATGCTGTGCAGTAATATGAATGTAAATTTTTAAGCTAAAACATTCCACAGAAAACTAAAAATGGCACTGCCTTTTGACCCAGCAATTCCACTGCTGGGATTATATCCTAAGAACCCTGAAACATCAATCCACAAGAACCTATGCACCCCCATGTTCCTAAATAATGTAGAATTTCTAAGATTTTGTAACCTAGGATTAAAACTTACACATAATATTAAGTAACTTTTGATCACTTTTACTGCCAGCAAAGATCAAATTGTTGGAAAAGAATATACAGGGTTGGCAAAAATAGGTTTACAGTTGTGTATAATCAAAAGTTTATTTTTGCATGATTTATTAATTACTGTATTATTTATATTATTTGTTTTCTTCTTCTTGTTATTATTTTATATCCTTACTTATGATTTATCTTTTAGATAATGATGGCTAGTAATTTAACCTACTTTTGCCCACCCCTACAATTCTAAACAAACTTGGTTTTCATCTCGTGCATGGGCTGGGTATAGTAATACTAGAATTTATGGATGCCACTTATTAATTTTAAACATAGCTTTATCACAAAATTTATATGCTTCTTAAAATACATTGCAGCCAAGATCCATACAGAATACTAATATTATGTATTTCCTTCTGCTATTGCCCTACAAATGTCATTGATATTAAAATGTGCTCATGAAGCAAACAAGCTAGGAGCTATATCTAAGGGAACAAAACACTAACAACAACTGGCTGTCAGAAAGTCAAGGTTGTCCTGAATGTCACTGACAGGGTTTATGAGGTCTTGGCAAGAATCACAGACATTGTAACAAAACATATACAAAAGGACAGAGTCCTCAAACTAGAACATAAAACAGGCTTTATGAGTGTCTCACCTTCTTCTCGTCTTAAATTCCGTTCAATGTTTGCTACACAGGAAGCACAGGTCATACCAGTGACCTGTATGTAACACTTAGACGAAGTCTTTACGTCCTCCTTGTCATGAATTGGTGTCATCATTTTAGTATGAAATTCATTAGTTGGGGTCAAATGTGGCATTTCCGATGGGGGCTCATTTGTACCTGGTGGACAGAGAAAGAGTATTTTTATTTGAGGTGTTCTCCAGCTGCATCCTAGTCATTCATCACAATCCACCCCGAGGCACTGTCAATCCATTCCTTTCAAACCAGTTGGTGTGGCTCAGTGGACCGAGCACCACACTGTGAACCAAAAGGTCACCGGTTCAATTCCCGATCAGGGCACATGCCTGGGTTGTGGGCCAGGTCCCCAGGCAGGGGTGTGAGAGAGGCAACCGGCTGATGTATCTACCACATATCAATGTTTCCCTCCCTCCCTTCCTGTCCCTCTAAAAATAATTTTTTAAAAAATGAGTTCCTTGGGGAGTGGCAGAGAGTAAACAAAACTGGGGTCGTATCAACTTCTTTCAGCCATTATTTCCTGCCCAAACCCTAAATAGAGAGCAGTTTGTTAACAGACAGCTTTTATATTTAGAACAAATTTTTAACATCATGTTAACAGTTTACATGCTCATAGTAACGCATTTTGTGGTATAGTAAGTGGAACAAGAAGCAATTTACAAAATAGTTTTGCAGTCTCAGAAAATGTGCTATTCCGTTTTAGTTTATTCAGTGCAGTATTATTAATCACCTGCCAAGAAAGAGAAAAAATATTCCTCTCTAGCACATCCAAACACCTGCAAAAAAATAAAAAAAAAATAGCTGAAGATTTTCAGCTCTCCTGCAGAGATAAGGAGGAAAAGAAGTGATGTGGAAACTTCCACTAACCTAACTTGTTCTTTCTTCTCCTTGAGCAAGAAACTGGTTCAGGTCTATAAGGACAGCCCACAGAGAAAGTCCTACACGACCGGTTTGGTTTTCAGGATGCTGAGGGAGGGCATCTTTGAAGAAACTTTAACAAAAGCCTGACCATTTCCCTAATGAATACTGATATGGACTCCTCAAATCGGTGTAATAACAGCTCTGAAATTTTCACGCCCATACAGTCACCTGGGGAATCTTGTTAAAATGCAGATTCTAATTCAGTGCATGCAGGATAGGGCTTGAGATCCTGCTTTTCCACCAGTCTGGGTACAGCAATGGCCACCATGTACAGCAAAGGACTAGATTCTACCAATTCTGAAATTACTCAGTCCCTGGTCTTGAGTGAAAGACTCAAGATTATGCAAGCATCATTCAGAACAGAGAGAGCGCCCTAGCTGGTGCGGCTCAGTGGATTGAGTGCAGACCTGGGAACCAAAGGGTTGCCGGTTCGATTCCCAGTCAGGACACATGCCTGGGTTGTGGGCCACGTGCGCAGTGGGGGGCACGTGAGAGTCAACCACACACTGAAGTTTCTCTCCCTCTCTCTCTCCTTCTTTTCCCCTCTCTCTGGAAATAAATAAATAAAATCTTAAAAAAAAAAAAAAAGAACAGAGAGTGCAGAATTTACCAAAGAGTACTGGAATGTTAAAGAACTCAAAAAAAAAACCACAAAAAACAAAGAGGCCCATTTGCCCAGAGGAAATAGCTTTGGCTTTGGAAAAAGGATTATTTTAATCTAGCCAGATCTTACTTAATTTTCTCATAATTACTGTCAACATTTAATTTTGAACCTGGAATATGAAAAAAAAATAAAAAGTTTGTCCTGCAAATTCCTTTATGTCTTGCTCCAGAGAAAGTTAGTTATTTCAGGCACAAGAGGTAATCTGCAATCTTCACACACTCTAAGTACACTATTCAATTAAAATAGGTCACAGAGGTAGTCCCTTTTAAGTTATCTCTGCAAGACCGCTCAACAAAGATCCATAAAATTGTGGCCTTTACCCCAGTTAGTATGGGAAGCAGAAGAGGAAAAGCTTCCATTTTCCACTTTCCATAGGCTGTAGCAACAGGACTTATGTTTAAATGTATTTAAAAGAAAGGTTAACTTTCCTGCACTTGAGACACCAATCGGAAAAGATTCCAAAAATTTCAAGATAAGGATTTCCAATCTGATGCTCAATGCTGGTAGGTTCATTGTCTAAATTAACGTGAGGAATAAATATGCAATCAAAAATGGCTTAAAAACAATTATAAACTCAGGTCTGTGACTGACTCTCAAAATGCTTCACAAAAAGGTATATATGAGTGATTTTATATGTGTGTGTCCATATGTCTGTCATGGAGAAAGAGGATGGTAAAACAAATGTGGTGAAATATTGACAAGTGGGGAATTTGAGGGCAGTAGGTCAACAGAAATTCTTTGTACTATTCCTGTGGCCTTTCTGTAAGTTTGAAATTAAAAGGAAGTTTAAATAAAATATTTTTTAAAAATTAAAATGCCGTGGCTGGTATGGCTCAGTGGATTGAGTGGCCAGCCTGTGAATCAAAGAGTTGCTGGTTCAATTCCCAGTCAGGGCACATGCCTGGGTTGTGACCCAGGTCCCCAGTGGGGGCGCATGAGAAGCAACCACACATTGATGTTTCTCTCCCCTCTTTCTCCGTCCCTTCCTCTCTCCCTAAAAATAATAAGTAAAATATTTTTAAAAGAAAAATAATTTATACACAATACTAAAATGTTAAAAAGCCCCTGGAATTAAAGGTCTAAACAAAGTATAAGAAATACATGATTGCAGCCCTGGCTGGCGTAGCTCAGTGGATTGAGTGCGGGCTGGGAACCAAAGTATCCCAGGTTCGATTCCCAGCCAGGGTACATGCCTGGGTTGCAGGCCATAACCCCCAGCAACCGCACATTGATGTTTCTCTCTCTCTCTTTCTCCCTCCCTTCCCTCTCTAAAAATAAATAAATAAAAATCTAAAAAAAAAATTCTACTTAAAAAAATAATTTAAGCATGGGTTTAATATAATTTTTTATGCTTCTCAGGTTTAGTGAGCTTAGAAACAGTACAATGTCATTTAATACCCTTCATTCTGAGCAAAAGAGCAAAGGTTAAGGATGACATGGTCTGGGAATTAGCTATTGTTATTTACAATAAGAAGTTTCATTAGGGTATTTCCAGTTTAATGCAAGGCTACGTTCAATTCCAGTTCCAAACAACTTCACACAGGCAAGTTCTACCTCATATACATTTTTGGTTTCAGTTCAAGGTAAGAGCTGTCAGAAAACAGGAAGACTCTGAATGCCTAAAATCAAAACTACGGTTTGAATTTTATGATTTTTCCATACCTCGTTTCTTTTTAAAATATTTGCCTCTCCCATTATACAGGGTCTGGCAGAAGTAAGGCCTGAATGTGGCTCACAGGGTGATAATATGGGTGTAATAATTTATAGTTTTGATTTGAACATTTCACCTCAAATGTCAGATGGTATGCTTGACTGTGACATTATTATGTTACAGAATTACATGCTTATGATTTTGTAATAAAAAGGGGGCGTTATTTGTGCCAGACCCTGTATATACATAACTACATACATCCTTGTCATAAAAAACTTAAAAGACATGTGAAAGCACAATGGAAACAAATATCATCATTATCCTACCTCATTTCCTGCCAGGAATTTTATTCATATACATAAATAACATATACATGGCATAAATCTTTATACATGTGTTTATAAATTTATCATAAAACTGAATACACAGCTTTTTAGCTTATTTTTCTTCACTTAACAAAATATTTGACACTCTCCTGTGGCATTAAGTACCTTTAATACCACAATTTTTTAAAAAGATTTTATTTATTTTTAGAGAGGGAAGGGAGGGAGAGAGGGAGAGAGAGAAACATCAATGTGCGGTTGCTGGGGGTTATGGCCTGCAACCCAGGCACGTACCCTGGCTGGAAATCGAACCTGGGACACTTTGGTTCCCAGCCCGCGCTCCATCCACTGAGCTACGCCAGCCAGGGCTAATACCACAATTTTTATGGCTTCATAACCATTTCATCACATGGATATATCATGACTTAAGGTCTGTACTTTTTAAATAATTATGCAAACATCCTTACGCATCTCTGTATATATACATCACTGAATACTTACATTGGCCTTATTTCCAAAAAGTGGAAATAAAATGCCTATTACTCCTTTCTCATTGATAAAAGACGAAAGAATCAGCAAATTGGCGAGGAAACAACATTAGGCATATTAAAGAAAAAACTGATAATTACCTGGCAAGGTAGCATCAAATCCCATGTCTTCTATTGCTTTCCTCAAGGTTTCTGGAGAGGTCAGTAGAGGGTCGTATTCTACAGTTCCATTGCTGTTTGCGAGGGACACTAGTACGGATTTTACCCCTGCCTTTTTTGACATGACCCCCTCAATAGACTGCACACAGGAGTTACAAGTCATGCCATTGATGTTGATCACGGTTTCTTGAGTCAGGGGCTGGCTAACTACATTCAAGGGAATCTTCTGTGGACAGGAGCCAGAAGGAGAGTTTGAGGTACTGTCAACTCCACTTGTAATACTAACTCTATATTGTCCTGGTGGTACGGCCTCTATTGCTTTTCTCAGGGCTTCTGGAGTGACTAAGTTTGCATTGTACTTGACGACAGCAGATCTGTTCTCTAAAGAAACTACTATGCTGCTTATATATTGGAGTGTAGATAAAGCACTTTCAATATTTGACACGCACGATTTACAATGCATGCCTTCTATGGAGAAAGTGGCTGTGGAAAAACCATCAGCACATGCTGGACTCCTCGTCTGTGATCCCTCTGGGGATTTGACTGGTGTGTTTTGTAGACGTCCTATATCAATATTTCCCAACATGCACTTGTGCTGCTTTTTGATGAATGCTGGAAAGCCCGCAGCTTCAATCTGCTTCTTGATTTCCTCTCCTGTGATAAGATGAGGTTGATAAACAACAGTAGCTTCTTGGTTGTCCAGGGAGACTGATTAATAAAAAGAAAAATAGTTATTTAATTCCGTTATTCCTGGTCTGCTTCAGAAAACATTCTTTACTGAATCACTACCACACAAAATCATTTCTCTCTCACCGTTATTATCCTTTCTTAAAATAAATCTGTTCTTTTCAGAAAATGTTAGTGATGGAGACTAGAAAAAAGTTAAAGATATACCACTATATCCATGGTCTCCAAGTTTCTGCATGCCTGAATAGACATATATTAGACATAAAGAAGACCACAGGCATGTTGTATTAAGAACCCTGAACTCGCCCTGGCTGGTGTGGCTCAGTGAAATGAGTTCCAGCTGCGAACCAAAGGGTGGCCGGTTCAATTCCCTGTCAAGGCACATGCCTGGGTTGCAGCCCAGATCCCCAATAGGGGGCACGTGAGAGCAACATTGATGTTTCTCTCCCCATCTTTCTCCCTCCCTTTCCCTCTCTCTAAAGATAAATAAATAGGTAAATTTGTTAAAAAAAAAAAAAGACCCTGAGCCCTGACTGGCGTAGCTCAGTGGATTGAGCGTGGGCTGCGAACCAAAGTGTCGCAGGTTTGATTCCCAGTCAGGGCACATGCCTGGGTTGCAGGCCACGGCCCCTAGCAACTGCACATTGATGTCTCTCTCTCTCTTTCTCTCTCTCTCTCTCTCTCTCTCTCCCCCTCCCTCCCTCCCTCCCTTCCTTATCTAAAAAATAAATAAAGATTTTAAAAAATCTTTAAGAAAAGAAAATAAAATAAATTTTAAAAGGCCCTGAACTCCATGAAATGCCACCCCAACTGCCTTTTCTGCTAGTTCAAGACTCATGTAACTTTTAATCATTCTCTTTACTAACATTAATCCTGGCAATACACTCTACTTCAGTCTTTAATGAAGCAATAAGCATTCCAGTCCCACGAATTCAAATTCCGTGCTTAAGAAGAAGAAAAGGCCGAAAGGCCAAAACAGCAAAGTCAGCCTTACAAAACACACCAATACCACCAGGCGCATTACCTTTAATTTGCTGAACACCCTGCAGTTTCCCTATTTTCCCTTCGATGGTGCTTGTGCACGAGTGGCAGCTCATCCCCTCCACTTTCATCTTCAGCTTGACTTCACCCGCTGGGGCCGCCCTGTAATCTTCACAGGTCCCTGACTTTTTCTCCACAGTTCCAGTATCGAAAATGAGATCTGGAACCAGCTCCATTATCCGATTGGCATTCACTAAAGAGGGGATTATTGTCACCACTGCACTTCTTTGCTGAGGGGAAATGTTAATGTCTGTGACGCCCTTGGCCTTGAGCAATGTGCTTTGGATATGGTCCCACGGCGCAGTCAGGGAACCAGGAACTCTCAGACACACGGTGTCGGTTAAAACAGGGACAGGGTGGGGACTGTGGAGAATGGCATCAAAGCCCATGTCGTCGATAGCTTCCTGCATGGTCTCTGCAGTCTGTAGTTTAGGGTCATAAATAATAGTTGCATTTTTTTCTTCCAGTGAGACCTTTGGAAGGAAAGTTCAGAAGTCACTTTAATTACATTACGTGACAGAGAGCCAAAAGCGATCATCACGCCACATTGACGAATGAAACTAATAGTTCAGTCTGATGGGGTTTGTCTATTATTTCTTATCACTACTATTATCTTCAGAGAGAAACACCAACTGTCTTGTTTGCGACAGGAATGGTAAAGCTGTATGTAGGTGCAAGTGACTCAGGTACTTACTGATCAGGCATTTGAAACCCTGTAGACAAACACACGGAGAACTACTACCATGACTGTGTGCAACTGTTTGGCAGGTATCTGACACAAAATTGTGATGCAGTGTCACACACACACACACACACACACACACAGACACACACACACTTGGCTGGAAGTCATAAGACTGGACTTGGAGTTTCACATCTCCACTTATTAGCCAGCCATACTCCTTAGTTCTGCCATCTGCAAAGTGGCAAATATGCCCTGTTATCATTCAGGGCTGTTACAAGGATCAGAGGAGTAAAGAAATAGGAAAGCAGCTCTTTGCGGCAGCGAGTTATAGAAAAGTACACACCGAACAACTAACATTTATCGAGCACATATTGTAGGTGCTAGGGACTGGGATTCTCAGAATACAAAGCCAAGCATGACAGAGTCACAGGGAACGATACTAAAAGAGAGAATACAGAAAATGGACAGCCACTTATTCCTGCGAGTATGGGCGGGGAAAGGCTTCTCCATGGAGATAACACCTGAGTGTTATAACACAAACACAAATCGGCAAGGACATATGAGGCAGGGTATTCCAAACGAATGAATGCACAACAGTAGAGAAACATGACAGGCTGGAGAATTAAGCAACTGCTTTATTACGGGGCCTCTTGTATGCCAGTAATGGCTTGTCATTTACCCTACAGGTAACAGAGAGCCATGGAAAGGTTAGGCAAGGGGATGACATGACCATATGTGCATGTGAGGGAAGAATCACCTGGGAGGCGCCGTGGAAGATGATGTTGGGGTGACACAGCACAAAGGGAGATCAGCCAGGAAGCTGTTGTAATGCAGTGATGGTGCAACAGAAGCTCTGAGTGAAAGCTCAACACTGGGGCTTGAAAAGGGGCAGCGCCAAGAGACATTTTAGGAGGGGCGGCACCTAGCAAGGAGACTATAGACGGTAAAGGAAACAAGAGGGCACAGGTGACAAACACAAGGCCCCTGGGCTGAATCTGGCCCTCCACCTTGTTTTATCCGGCCCGGCACTTTGTTTCTACCCGGCGGCAGAGCCGAGCTCCTTGCCCCTAGTTAAGGGGTAGTTCCATGTACACAGCCCTAACATTACATTCGGCCCTTTGAAGGCAGCCGCGAGGCTGATGCGGACCCCGGTGAAAGTGAGTTTGACACCCCAGCAATAGGGTATCAATGCTCTAAAGGAGGTTCAAGATGATGATGATGATGATGATGATGATGATGATGGATTCCTGGTGAAAAGCTTTGTTCCATAAAATAAAAACCATTGCAAAATATAATTAAAAGGAATTCAGAGTAGGAAATCTCACTTTAAATCATCTAGGATAGTTATAGAGTCAAATCTTTCTCTTATTTTAATATGAATCTTTTGTTTATTTTTCCTGCAGCTTGGTAATCAATGGCTACGTATTTGATAACATCTTGAAATGTGCCCATACCATGAAATATCACGAAGACTGGTAACTCTACTTGGTCAGGTTGCTCGCTCTTAGCTTAGTCTCCTTCTGTAATCACATATTTTGACCCCTTTTACCTCTTCATCTGCTTCCCAACCCTTGAACTCATTTCCCCCTTCCAAAAATGTCAATTTACCAGCAAACCCAATGAGAAATTATTCTCTAAACCGATTTTAAGAGCAACATTTACTTTGTCACTAGACAGTTTGCTGTGCTTTCTACTGCTTTAGTCTCTCTTTTTTTCAAGATTTTATTTCTTAGAGGGGAAGGGAGGGAGAAAGAGAGGGAGAGGAACATCAATGAGTGGTTGTGCGCCCCCTACTGGGGACCCGGCCCGCGACCCAGCCATGTGCCCTGACTGGGAATCGAACTGGTGACCCTCTGGTTCACAGGCTAACACTCAATCCACTGAGCCACACCAGCCAGGGCGACTTTAGCCTCTCTTCTACTGATACAAAGACATAAGGAAAAAAGGCAACTATGAATATAAAATAATATACAAAAGATTTTATTACCCAATGAATTTTTTTCACACTGCAGCCTGGAAAACATTTCTTTATTTAGTAACTTCTACGCGTGTGTTTTAAAACAGGCCAGCCACACCTAGCACACACAGAAATGTTCCCCTGGTTCCCCTCTGGAGTAATGGCACTCAACTTGTCCTCTGAATGTTAGATATCAAAGAGGCGTTTCAAGCCTAAGGTCTCCAAGGGAACAAAAATAAGCAGCTCCTTTATTTCCACTGAAAGGAAATTCATACAGTGATTCTCACAATACTCTTGTGGAGGCTAAATCCCCGGGGAAGGAAGCTAAAATAGCATTTATTTATTGCACAAATATTAGCCGCGTGCCTATTATATGCCTGACACTGTGCTAGACGCCACGGTAACAAAAGCGGGCACCGGCTCCAGGCTGGTTCTGGACCTGCCCAGCTCTTCTTTCCCATGACCCCGCCCCCCGCCGACAAAAACCACCTCTGCCTATTCCCCACATTGCTCCAAATTTTCCACAGCTTGTCTTTGTCTCAGAATCTTTCATTAGTCACCAAAGCTGTCATTTTCAGAGGAACTATTTGTCCACTGTATCAATAGAACCTCTGAAAATAAACAGCCTAGAGCAGGGGTGTCACACTCATTTTCACCGGGGCCACATCAGCCTTGTGGTTGCCTTCAAAGGGCCGAATGTAACTTTAGGACTGTATGAATGTAACTACTCTTTTAACAGTTAAGCGAGAGCTCAGCGCTGCCACCAGGTAGTAGCAAGGTGCTGGGCCGGATAAAACAAGGTGGAGGGCCAAATTTGGCTACTGGACCTTGTGTTTGCCACCTGTGCTCTAGAAATTATGAATGTGGCTCACAGGAAGGACTCGAGGTGGAGGACTATTTGTTGTATTTCTTTTTTTTTTTTAAAGATTTTATTTTTTTCTTTATTTTTAGAGAAGGAGGCGAGGGGGAGAGAGAGAGAGAGAGAGAGAAACATCCATGTGTGGTTGCTGGGGTCATGGCCTGCAACCCAGGCATGTGCCCTGACTGGGAATCGAACCTGCGACACTTTGGTTTGCAGCCCACGCTCAATCCACTGAGCTACGCCAGCCAGGGCTATTTGTTGTATTTCAGTGAAGGCGGGAGAGTAGAAAAGAAATCAAATGCACTCTGTGATCTCCATAGCATTAATCGTGGTGTAGAGGTGCTAACTGTCCACGTGGATTGTGGAGATCCACTATTTTAATGAGCCTGGTGTTCTTTATCTACTGAAATGTCTAAAGCATGAAACTCAGGCAGAGCATACTTTATCTGCCTGTGATTTCTGTATAATTTTCATAAACAGACAAAGGCTGCACAAGCTGTTCTCAAGTAAGATGAAAGCCAGACCTTGGAGAAATCTCCCTAACTCACAAAGAGCTATAGTTTCTTGACAAACTGAAGCAGATAATCCTTTTTAGCTGTAACTTTCCATAAAAGCTAAAAACTGTGCAACTACCACTTTTGGGGTTGTCATCAGCACATTTTTCTCTTTCGTATCCCTTCTCATCTGATAATAAAAGGTGATCCAGTGACATTTATGAAGCTTAGCAAACTGAACGCATTGCCCAGAAAACCCAGCAGGAAAATGAAAGCTACGATATAGATACAGGTTTATGTAACTCCAAGTCCATGTTCTTTTTCCATCTGTAACTGAAAAGGCAGGATGATCTTGAAATTTCTTGAGTAACTAAAATTCTACTCCTGTAATATGAGTAATGTGTGATTTATGGATATAAATTGTTTTCTAGAGTCTGAACCAAATTTTAGTTCCCTGTTTGTCTTCCCTCCTACATTTCCTATCTTGTGCCCTACTGCTTTAGGTTTAAAATGATTTAGAGAATATGTTTCTTTGGGTTTTTATGAGAATTGACAATTAGTATAATGTAAAATTTCCCCATTTTTAAACATGACATGATTCATCAACTATCTTGAGTTTCTAATGTTTGATTCACCACTTACAATATCTTTAAAAAACGTTTTTATTGATTTGAGACACAAACAGAAACACTAATTTGTTGTTCCACTTAGTTATGCATTTGTTAGTTGATTCTTGTATGTGCCCTGACCTGGGATCGAACGAGCAACATTGGTGTATTGGGATGACACTCTAACCAACTGAGCTATGGGGCCAGGGCTACAATATATTTCTGACTCAAGTAAGAACTATTTTAATACATAATAGGAATCTCATTGAGATATGTATAATATATCTCAATACAAATTCCATTGTTTTTTAAAATATGTGCATATTACTCACGTAACACTCTACTTTGATGTTTCAGCACAGAATACTAAAAATTATGATATCATAAAGTAAATCATCAAGCTCTACTTACACAGACTTTTTGACCAACCTCAATAAAGGTTACCAGTTAAAATAGAAACCAATTTATAAACTAGCAGAAGACATTCTTACAATATAAAAATTCAAAACCCAACTATTTCAAAAATGAAAAAGATACTGGGATTTTGTTAGTCTTTTTAAGTTGTAGCATTAATTTCATTAATTAAATGATCTGTAAACTGAGTGCTTTGTCAGAATTTCATTGCTAAGATATATTGGTTTTACTTCCAAAAGTATACAACTCATGTATAATTATTGATTATCAAAATTAAAGTAATGAAAAGGAAATAGTGAAAGTCCCTCTTCACACCATTCTTCCAGGAAGCTGTAGGGCCCAATGTAAAACTGGTAAGTGACTATTATCAGGTCAAAGAATATTTGAAACTAATCTCTGCATAAGTAAGCTTTTTGGAAACGCCCTGAAATCATATAGCTCCTATATGAAAGAAACTGGATATTTTTTTTCTAAAGGTGACAGCAGGCCTAAAAATTTGTCAGTACCTAGTCATGCTGTTGTAAGGAACTTTTCTAAACTTTCATTAAAAAATATATTTTTGACCTGTAAGAAAGACAGTTATGTTTCTTTTCTCTAGATTGAAAAGTGTTTTTACAAGAGCATTGTTAAATGAAGCAGCAGAGTATACAGGCAAAACTATAAGAAAATAAAATGTAGAGGTAGACGTGTATTAAGCATTAGTATTACATCTGTTATTTTATGGATTTTATAGTATTTATGAGCTTTAAATTTTTTTAAGATTTTATTTATTTATTTCTTAGAGAGGGAAGGGAAGGAGAAAGAGAGAGAGAGAGAGATACATCAATGTGTAGTTGCTGGGGTCATGGCCTGCAACCCAGGCATGTACCCTGACTGGGAATCGCACCTGCAACACTTTGATTCGCAGCCCACGCTCAATCCACTGAGCTATGTCAGCCAGAGCAAAAATTTTTGTAAATTGTAACTTTATTACTTGTTCAGAATATTTACTTTTGAACAGAATTGTTTTCAGTCTTGGATTCTTTTTCTTTTAAAAAAAAAGATTTTATTTATTTTTTACAGAGAGGAGAAGGGAGGAGAGAGAGGGAGAGAAACATTGATTGGTTGCCTCTCACACGCCTCCAATCGGGGACCTGGCCTGCAACGTGGGCATGTGCCCTAACCGGGAATCAAACCGGTGACCTTTCAGTTCACAGGCCAGTGCCTGACCTGCTGAGCCACACCAGAAAGGGCTGGATTATTTTTCTTAAAGCAAGTCCCCCCAAATGTTTAAGTTTCAGTGGCTACAAAAGGTAGATGCACCTCTTTCTAGGAATCATATAGAAAAATTTCCATGTCCAAAAATACTTTATAGTCAGAATTTACCTCGACATGTTAATACATAAATATTGGTCACTTTTTAGAGAATGTCAAGGTTTAACATTTCTAGATCCTAGTTTCTGAGATTACATTTCCTAAGACTAATTTGCAGTGAATTTAGAAACCAGGTTTGGGGAGGACATTGTTTTGACTAAGTCAAAAAGTTCTGGTAGGATTTGGAATAAAATTGACACGAAGTGATGCAATTGTGACGTCACGTTGAGTGTGGTTGCTTTATGGAAAAGAAAAACGCTTCAGTGGAACAGGTCAGAGCTTTAACACAATTCAAGGAGAGTGAATAGTCAAGGAGTCTGTAATTTTAGCAGAAGTAGAATGGATGATTATTTCTTACTGCAGCTTCAGCTCCTAAATACATTTTGGGAATTGTGTCTTAAATTGTCAAGTTGCGAGTGTAATACTCTTGTTTGTTTCTGCCACTGTCAAGACTGCAGACTTTGAAGGGATTAACCTGAAGTTTAATTTAATCACCCCAGCGGTCTGTTAAGGGGGGAAATGAAATAGGCAGATAATGTGAAGGTCTTTCTCTGCGATTGGTTGGCCTTTTTGAAAGTAGAAATGTAAAAACAAATTTAATTAGATATAAGTACTGAATGACTCCAAAGGTTAATGCTTTATTAGCAAATTACTTTGTCCTTGAAATTTAAACTGCCAACTCTGAGTGCTTTCTCCCTTCATGTAGATAAAGGCTGTCATCCATTCTGCTAATATAGACTATCCTTTTACAAAATGACCACCCAGATGCTGGCAGTAACTCAATTCATTCTGTAGATCAATATGTTGCTTGCTTCCCTTAAATTTAACTATTTTTTAATTCTTGAAAAGGTTACACATGTACAGAGTAAAATCTCTCTCTCAAAGGGAAGTAGTTATCAGTTTGTAGTGTATATATCCTTCCAGAAATAGACTATGACTACAAAATGGTTTATATGTATATATGTATATCTATATGTATATATTTATATGTATATATATATCCCTTTATATAAATGGAATCTCACTATAAATATTGTTCTGCACCTTGGCTTTTTACTTAGCAAGTATATGTTAGATATTGTTCCATATCGGCCTACAGTGATTCGTCTTTTTGATTTCTGTTTGGAACTTTTTTTTGTTTCTTAATTTTTGCTATGGCAAATGATAGTGTATTGAACATTGAACATTCCTTTTTCAAACACTGTATTAGAGTAATATCGCATTTTGCTTAATATAAAGTCCTAGGTAATAATCATTCTTCCAAGAAGATATAGAATCGGTTATTCAAGGAGGCTTAGGTCTCTGATTTAGTTGAACTTCACCCCAAGTTTCAAAGAAAGGTCCAATCCAAGGTAAAAATCTACCTGCCCTGGCCCTGGGTGAGTCGGTGGGCAGCAGTGTTGCTGGAAGCCATTCCTATACCACAATTTTGAGCAAAAATGTCGCTGTACACACAAGTGACTAAGAACCACATATAGCTAAATATCCTAGTAACCCCAAACTAAATATATCCCCAACTCAACCTCCTCTTGGGCAGATCCTCCAGGTGCCCACGGCACATCCAGTACCACCCAACACAAAGGGGAAGTCTAACGGGGAGGGGAGTCAAAGTGGCGTTAGACAACAGACTTAAAGGATTGTGGTTGAAATATTTTATATGTTTTTTAAAGATTTTATGTATGTATTTTTAGAGAGAGGGCAAGGGAGGGAGAAAGAGAGGGACAGAAGTATCAACGTGTGGTTGGTTGCCTATTGCACGCCCCTACCAATGACCTGGCCGGCAACCCAGGCATGTGCCCTGACTGGGAATCGAACCGGTGACCCTTTGGTTTGCAGGCTGGCACTCAACCCACTGAGCCACACCAGCCAAGGCAAAATATTTTACTTTTGCAAAGACGTGTAACCATGTGAACCTATTGCTAACACTCCGTCCAGGGTGTCAGAAGGTGCCACTATTAAGCTAGGGGCTATGAAACGTAAGCTTCTTTAACTTCACAATAAATCTGTTTCTGGGCCTAGGAGAAACACTCAGTAAAATATTTTTTATTAAATATATTGGAAAACATTGCTTAGTAACATCATATAAATTTCAGGTTACAATTTATAATCCAACATCTGCACACTCCGTTGTGTTCTGACTACCCGAAGTCTAGTCTCCTTTCATCACCTCGTATTTGACTTCCTTTGCCCTCCTTCATCTGCCCCTCACCCAATAAAATACTTTTTAAAGCAAGAATAAAAGAAGAGATATTAAAACGATATTCTATGTGGGCTTTCGACTAAAAGAGGACAGGCGAGCTGGAAAAGGCAGAGATGGTGTGCTTCCTTTTGTTTCGGGCAATCAAATTGCGAGCGTGCGCTGGAAAGCATGGCCCTAAGCATCTGTCACCGGGATCCCTATGAATCACTGCTGATAACACAAAGTGCTTTCACATCACATCGCTGCTACTTTCCCTTTACACTTAATCTAATTCAAATGCGTTTTGTTTTTTTCTTTACCTTAAACAGGCTTTATTAACAGAGGTGAGTTCTGGGAAGATGCAGTAGAAACAGCAGCCTTACAAATGAGTGTGATATAATAGGCTTTTTAAAAAATCTATACAGGAAAGTACCTGCAAACGTCAAAGCAGGATTTAGCCATTCCCTGATACATGGATATATTAGCAAAACAGGTATTAATGTAAAAAAGTTTGCTAGGCAAAGAGTAAATACCAAAGTCACTGGGAGAAAAATTATGTGAACTAGTTTTTTGATGGTAAGTAGCTTTACTCCAATTAGCACAGACAATTAGTAAGATTTAGCTTCCATTTAGCGCCCAGCACCAGCCCCTTAGATCAACTGGAGGACATGTAATTGGTTTCATTTGCAGGTAAAATCAAATGCAGGTGTCAGTTACTATGCACTGAAATTAAACTTGTTTTTAAATCTTTGGGTGGGAAGGCTGTGGGATCACCTTGGCCATCCTCTTTTCAAATCAACACACTGCAAAATATCTGCCTGATTTTTGGATAGTTTACCAATTAGTGAAAAAATTACAAAATTTTTTAATAAATTTGAATATTTTGAAGGTAAAGGAGTTTGACAAAACCCTCAATGTTGTAAATACTGTCACTTCTCAGCTTTTCCAACGTGGAAATCTCTCCAAAGCGAATTAAAGAAAGCAGCATCCATGGGGGGGGGGCAGGGGAAGGGGGGATGAAAATAAACAGCCTTTAAGCCTGGAGTTATGTGAAGGTAAATGGTGAATACAGAAGAAAATCCTACTTGTGGAGCATGGGAAAGTGGAAAATTCATATCTAAGTACTCCTATGGGCAGAAAGCTTTGCAGACAGCTTAGCACGTTATGTAAATAAAGCTTTTTTAACCACAACTATCCACACAGTCTTAGCTGACCAGAGTGTGTGGTACCGACAACAGATGTGAGCACTGCTTTCCCGCCACAGAAATAGTAAGAATGGATCCAAAGCTTACTTGGCTCTCTCTTGCCAAGATGAATATGAAACTCAGACATGGAAAAAAAAATCACCTACTGTTTCAGACACGGAAAAGAACTACCCACGTATTGCCACCGCCCTTCACATGACTCTTGATTTGAAGAAATTTTGTATTAAACTGCATAAAGAATCACTATATGCCAATTAGCCATTTTTTTTGTCATGAAAACAAGGCAAATTGAAGTCCATTGGCTCAAGATCTTAGGAGCAGTCTGAATCACAGACGGGAATATTGTAGAGACAGGAAGGGTAAATGCTGTACGTACTTCACTGAGAAGTCGGACCCAGTCTGAACTCTGCGACTTCACTAATTCCCGGAGGGTCACTTACTTTAATGTGATGCACACCGTTCAGTTTTCCAATGTGCTGCTCGATGGTCCAGACGCAGGAACTACACGTCATCCCCTCCACAGAGATGCTGACACAACTCACGCTCATATTTGGATCCATTTTGATTTCTTCTTTACATTCCTATGAGGAACAGTGAACTCATTAACTTCAGCCATGGAAAGAACACTTCCTCAGCCCTGGCTGGTGTAGCTCAGTGGATTGAGCACGGGCTGGGAACCAAAGCGTCGCAGGTTCGATTCCCAGCCAGGGCACATGCCTGGGTTGCAGGCCATGACCCCCAGCAACCGCACATTGATGTCTCTCTGTCTCTCTCTCCCCCCCCTTCCCTCTCTAAAAATAAATAAAATCTTAAAAAAAAAGAACACTTCCTCAACTTTCCCCCACTACCTCAACCGAAAATGTAGTACTAATAAAATATAGTCAGCACTCTTTCCTCGCACGTCACGTTGTTCCCATTTCAGGGCCTTTGCTTTACGGGTTCCCTTGGTTTGGGGCTTTCTTCTTCCGGATTATCCGCTTTGCTAGCTTTAATGAGTCTTACACTGACCACCCTGTTTTAAATTGCAACCCACATCCTTCCACAAACACACACTCTGATTCCCCGTGCCTCTGCTCTGTTTTCTTTTTTCATAGAACTTATCACATTCTAATGTATTCTCTAATTTACTTCTTATGTTTATTGCTTATTATCTGTCTTCCTGTGATGGTTTTAACAGTATGTTTACACATTCTTTGTTACTCCTTCCTTCCAGAGGTGGAATTTAACCCCCGTCCCCTTGAGCGTGGCCTGGATTCAGTGACTTGCTTCCAACGAACAGAATATGGTAGAAGCAAGGAGGTGTGACTTCCCAGACTAGGTCATAAAAAGCACTGCAAGGCATGGAGAGGAGTCACTGTAGTTTCCTCCTTGTCCTCTCTCTTGAATCATCAGACCTGGGGAAAGTCACCTGCCATGTCACAAGAATGCAACATTATGAAGAGGTTTATGTGCGAAGAAACTGAGGTGTCCTGTCAACAACGAGCAAGACCTGAGTCCTCCTGCCAATGGCCAGGTGAGTGAACTGTCTTGGAAGCTGATCCTTCAGACTCAGTTAAGCCTTTAGATCACAGGTGGCAAGCACAAGGCCCAAGGGCCGAATCCAACCCTCCACCTTGTTTTATCCAGCTCAGCACCTTGTTTTTACCTGGTGGTAGTGACGAGCTCTTAGTTAACTGTTCAGTAGTTACACTTATACAGCCCTAAAATTACATCTGGCCCTTTGAAGGCAACCGTGAGACTGACGTGGCCCCCGGTGAAAATGAGTTTGACACCCCTGCTTTTGATGCCTGCAGCCCCAGCTGACGTATTGACTACTATATCACCAGAGCCCTTGAGCCAGAATCACACAGCTACACCACTCCCAGATTCATGGCCCACGGAAACCCCGAAATAATGTTTTAGGCCACTAAATTTTGGGGTAATTTGTGACACTGAAATCATTAACTAAAACACTTCTCAGCAGAATGAAAATTCCATGGAAACAAGAATCTGGTTTTTTCACGGCTATTAATTTGAACTGCACGAAGTTGCCATTGCTGCATATCAAAATAGTCCAATGTTGGCAGCTTCATATGGATCAACCGAATAGATCCCATGGCAACAGTGGTTTCCTTTGGTGAGGAGAACTGAATGGTCAGGGGATGAGAGTGAGAAAAAAAAATTTCACGGTATAACCCTTTATACCTTTTTTACAAACTGAGATGTAACTGGCATAACATTGTGTAGTTTAAGGTGCACAATGTGTTGGTTTGATACACTTTTTATGTTGCGATGTGACTTCCACCATTACTAACACCTGTCTCATCACGTACCATTTTTTGTGGTGAGAACAATTAAGATCTAGTCTCTCTTCTACTGTCTGAATGTTATACCATAATGCACTGTCTATTCAAACACAGACACGGGCACAAACACACATAAAAAAACAATAGACCTGAAATACTAGAAAGCAATAATATGGATGGGAGTTTGTAATTAAGGCATTCTAAGGTCCTTGGTCTTATTCAGAATATATATAAAGAAACACGTAAAACCTAGATTTTCTTAAGAATACATGTTAAAAACTTAAGGATAACCGGCAAGAGACTAAAAAACAATATATAGCTTCCAAAACAGAACAGTGAAAAAGGGAATAAAGAATATTAAACAAATAGCCCTGGGTGGTGTGGCTAACTGGACTGAGTGCCAGCCTATGAACCAAAGGGTCACTGGTTGAGTCCCCGTCAGGGCACATGCCTGGGTTGCGGGCCAGGTCCCCAGTGGGGGCACGTGAGAGACAATATATAAACTCTATGAAAATATATAAAATATAAAAAATATTTTTTAAAATATATTTTATTGATTATGCTATTACAGTTGTCCCATTACCCCCCCTTCATTCCCCTCCACCCTGCACACCCCCTCCCACCCACATTCCCCCCTTTAGTTCACGTCCATGTGTCATAAGTTCTTTAGCTTCTACATTTCCCATACTATTCTTGCCCTCCCCCTGTCTATTTTCTACCTACCGTCTATGCTACTTATTCTCTGTACCTTTTCCCCCTCTCTCCTCCTCCCACTCCCCTGTTGCTAACCCTCCATGTAATCTCCATTTCTGTGGTTAAAAATATTTTGTAATATAGTTAATGTCCACCTTTTGAATTTTTAATGTCTCAAAGACAGGTACAAAGTCAAGAACATTTTTTTTAACCTCCCATTACATTTAGCAAAATGACTCAGAAAACAGAGTAAGAGCATAAACAATTTCATATGGTGTGGCAAAAATGCAGGCTTCTGAGAGATCACAATATTAAACAAACCTGGCATGCAGCTATTAGTAATGAGGCGACTCTGAGAACAAGAGCATCCAGCAACATTGTGGGAAATAACATCTAGATATTACAGTGTTTTTGAGTCACTCCCTAAATACAAATGGTAATCACCATTGGTAATAACATTCCCGAAAGGAGGAACAGTATTATGACTAGATCAGCATCTCTGGTCTCAAAACAGAAAGAGCTGAAGTTATGTACAAACATCATATGCATGAAGTCCAATTGCTCAAAAACCACTTCATAAAGCTGACCACAAAAGTTCCAACATTGTTCATAAAATCCCCCTAAAAATAGTTCCCATAATTTAGAAAAGGTTTCTGAATTCGCAATAAAATTTTACAGTAAAACTTAAAGTTCTTTTTGCATTCAGTTCTACCTGGTACAGTTTTTATCACTATGGTAATCAAGGAAATGCAAATTAAAAGCACAATGAACATGATTCATACTCATAAGGTAGACAAAAAATTCAAAATCTGACAATAACAAGTGTTACTGAGGATGTGGAGGAACAGGATCTCTCTAATTCAGCTGGTAAGAGTGTAAGTTAGTCATATTTTGCTCGCTTGTTTGTTCTGTTGATTAGGTTCCACTTATAGGTGAGATCATATGGTATTTGTCCCTCACCGCCTGGCTTACTTCACTTAGCATAATGCTCTCCAGCTCCATCCACGCTGTCACAAAGGGGAGGAGCTCCTTCTTTCTTTCTGCTGGGTACTATTCCATTGGGTAAATGTACCACAGTGTTTTGATCCACTCATTGACAGATGGGAACTTAGGCTGCTTCCAGCACTTGGATATTATAAATTGTGCTGGAACCTAGTCAATAAAATAAATGAACAAGCAAAATAAAACCAAAAACATGGAAATAAAGAACAAACTGACAGTAGCCAGAGAGGGAGGGGGAGGGGAATAACAGGGTGGGAGGAGAAGGGTCATCAAAGAACATGTAAAAAGCACACAGGGACAAAGCCACAGGGGGGTAGGACCAAGGGTGGGAGGTGGGGTGGGGGGTAGTGGTGGGGGGAAAATGGTGACAACTGCACCTGAGCAACAATAAAAAAAGAGTGTAAATTAGTACAACCACTATGGAACCCGCTTGGCAATATCTGGTAGAGCTGAAGACAGGCATATGCCAAAATACAACATTTTCAGTCCTGGGCATATTTATTACCCCGCAGAAAGTCTCACACATGTGCACAAGGAAATATGAACAGCAATGCTCATTTCAACAGTGTTCCAAATACTCAACTAACAGTTAACATGTCTTAGGTTATGTCCAACTCTTAGAAGCAGAGACTAAAATGGTGGTCACAGGGGCTGGGCAGTGGGGGAAGTGGAGAGATGTTGATCCAAGGGTTCAAAGTCTCAGTTTTGCAGGATGAATAAACTCTATAGATCTAACGTACATACAGCAGGGTGACTACAGTGCATAGTATTGTGTTATGTACTTGAAATTTGGTAAGTGAGATCTTAAGAGTTTTTTAACAAAAATTGGAAACTGTGTGAGGTGATGGATATGTTAAATAGCCTAATTGTAGTTATCATTTCACAGTGTGTAATGTATCAAAACATCATGTTGTATTCCTTAAATACATACAATTTTTATGTCAGTTATACCTCAATAAAGCTGGAGGGAAAAGATTTTTAAAAACTAGCCTATTTTAGGGCAGAATAAAGAAAAAATACATAGGGAATGTGCAGAAATTAAGAGAAAAGTCATCGAAACTGAAATAATTCAGTAAGTGAGACCAATAATAAATTCCAACATATAAGCAGTCAAAATCATCCAGCCTATTTTACCACGGCTCTAAAAGTACCCGTTTGTTAAACAAATTGACGAGTTCAAGCTTTGCAAACAGCACTGAACTAGTGTTGCACTCAGGGTAGCTACAGAATATTTCCAAATCAATATAAGTTTTTCTACCTGTTTCCTTTATTTAAAATCATGACCACCTCCAAATGGAAAATCAAAGGGGAAAGCATTAGCTTATCTCTTACTTTATGTAATTCATCTAATTCATTTAAATTGTGCAAGCCTTTGAAATGAAAATTGATCTTACTCCTTAACCTGTTTTCAAAATACTGGGTGCCTAATCTCTTTCATCAGACAACTGCCATTATATAAACACAGGACTAAGGCTCCAGATGAAACAGCTGGAGTGGACAAGTGTATGTTTTAAAACATAATTGTTCTTTTCATTTGATCATGTCCAAAAGATTAGGAGCCAATAAAGACACACTAGTGAGGTCAAAAAACAACAGAACAT